ACCCTGGCACGTGGATGGGATGCAGCGGGCTGGGATGGGGCAGCGGGTGAGCCGCTGTCCTGATGTTGTCCGGCCCTGCCGCAGGACCGGGTGCCCTTTGTGGTGGCCGAGCGGGTGCCCTGGGAGAAGATGTGTGATACGCTGAACCTGAAGTTCATGGCAGAGGTGCAGACCACCAAGGGGCTTCTCAAGGAGCACTACTTCTTTCTGGCCCAGAAGGTCTTCAATGACCACAGTGCCAGCCTCGAGGACTTTCAGAGCCGCAGCGTCTCCTGGGCCCAGTTCAACAAGGTTACCGGGAGGGCTGGCCAGGGTGGGCAGGGGCCAGCATGGTCCTGGGGAGCCTCACACTCCCTCTCTGCCGCAGGAGATCCTGCCCGGTCGGGGATTCACCTTCTGGCAGTGGTTTGATGGAGTCCTCGACCTCACCAAGAGATGCCTCAAAAGTTACTGGTCAGACAGGTGTGTGCCCAGGGGGCCAAGTGGGATTTCATGGCTGCTCCAGGACCAGCCCTGGGGAATCCTGGTTCCACCCCTCCACCCTGGTGCTGACCCCCCCTCCCATCTGTCCATCCTTCCAGGCTCATCATCGGCTTTATCAGCAAGCAGTACGTCTGCAAACTCCTGAGCACAGAGCCTGATGGGACCTTCCTGCTCCGCTTCAGTGACTCGGAGATCGGGGGTGTCACTATCGCTCACGTCATCCGGGGCAAGGATGGTGAGACTGGGGAGACAGCGGCTGCTCTCAGTGCTGTGAAGGGGAGGTGTCATCATGGCCTGGGGATATCTGGTGTTATGGGGACCAGGCAACAGAGCCCCATGCCACGTCTCCCTGCAGGATCCAGCCAGGTGGAGAACATCCAGCCCTTCTCTGCCAAGGACCTGTCCATCCGGTCCCTCGGTGACCGCATCCGTGACCTGGGGCAGCTCCGCAACCTCTACCCCAACACCCCCAAGGACCAGGCGTTTGGGAGTCACTACAACAGTGAGTGGGTGGGAGCAGAGATGGGCCCTGGGCTTCACACCTGCCTCTCCAGCAAGGCTGCGGGGAGAAGCAGGGAGGAGGGGTTTAGGGTCCCACCCAGGTCCTGCTGGCCCCAGAACTCGCGGGTTGGCCAGTGCTGCCCAAGAGGGTTGGCACGGCACGGCCTCGTGCTGGGGTGGTAGTTCACCAGTGCTTCTCTCTGAGCAGAAGAGCAGACAGGAAAGGACGGCCGGGGCTACGTCTCCACCGCCATCAAGATGACAGTGGAAAGCGAAAGGTGGGTGCGCATGAGAGGCCGTGGCTGCGCCGGAGGTGTGTGCACAGGCGCCGCCCAGCTGCTCTGGGCCAGGGCTTGCACAGACGTCACCAGGCCGGCCTGCGCATCGCTGCTGGGCAGGGGGATTTCTGACCGGGCAAAACGGGATGTGCTTGTGAGCGAGGAATCCCCCATGGGTATCCCGAGCTGCAGCAGAGCACGTCTGTGAGCGCACCGCCCTCTCCACGAGCGAGCGCTGACTTGCACGTGAGCCTTTTCGAAGGCTGGACCTTGCAGTACACAAGTCCTGTCCGTGCTCATGGGGATGATGCACTTTTGCAGGGACCAGCAGCCCCAGAACGCTGCGGGGGGCTCCCCCGAAGCCTCCCAGGCTCAGATGTTCAGCCTGCCCATGCTACAGCCCGAGCTGCACCCCGAGAGCCTGCAGTCAGTGCTCAGCCCCATCTGGTGAGTGCCCAGCCATGCCCTGGGCAGAGGCAGACCTGCTCTGCCAGGCGTGGGCTGGGATGGAAGAGGGCTGTGGTGGATAACACCCTCAGATGCCAACCCCTCCGTGTCTGCACTTGCAGCCCTCCTGCTCCCTTCTGCCCCCAGCCCGTCCCCACAGGCTACCCCACGGGTGAAAGCAACATCAACATGATGGTTTCCGACAATCTCCCGTCCTCCTTTCCCAGGTAGGAGGGGTGCTGGTTGAGGGCGGGGGGGCAGGATGGGCCTCCCACCCCCCCCAGACACAGCCAGGTGGTGTTTCCCCCACCTCTAATTGCTCCTGCTCCCCACAGCACGTCACCAATGCTCTCGCCGTCCCTGGTCATGGACCCT